AATTCCCCAGCCAGCTGGCTGGGGAATTCTGGGAGTTGAAGTCCACCCATCTTAAAACGGCCAAGGTTGAGAAACGCTGCCTGAATCTCTGCAAATCTAACTTTGGAAGGCCAGCGTCGACATTCCTTTAGGCAAAGTGTGATCCTAAAATGTTTGCGCCGTCAAAGCATTCCCTGCCCATAATAGGAATTGCAAGGAGAGACACAACATGTTCCATTTCTGTACGGCACATTTCCTGATACTAATAGGTGGACCAATGACACCATTTAGCTGTGTGGACTAATTCTCAGGAAAGGCCATACCTGTTGGAGAATTCTGGGAACAAACGTATCTGGAGCACCCCGAACTGGAGAGGCTGAATTAGACAAGAGCAGGAGGGTAGATCAATTCTCTTCCTTTTTTGAGGATGAGTGATTTGCAGGTGAGTTTTCTCACCTGAGAAAACATCCCAGAATTCTTTGCTATGGTGCCAAGGGATTCTGGGACAGACACTCTTCCTCTCCTCACCTGAGTAGCAAATGAAATATTTTCAGCCAGGGCCAAACTGATAGATAGGTGATACATTTCTTTAAAAAAATCCAAATCCCACCCGCTGAGAAAGGCAAAAAGTTCCTTTTATTCACTAAATGGGCAAAATAAAAACACAGTATGCTTTAAAACACTTTCATACAGCACCCTCCAAAATGCAATTTATTCATTTGGCCATGTATCATGCCCCCCCCCATTTTTTTTGCATATATGAAGAGAGCTAAAAAAGCTGAAATCTGACTTAGCAGCTCCTAGCACAAGGCCCCTTCAGCAGTGTTCTTCTAATATTTCACCTTGCAGTGCCCGAATGAACAATGTTGCTTTGCATCCATAAGGACTAGCAACTTAGTTTCATTACTGGGACGTAAACTACACTGCATTACTGCCTTTATGACTGTCGAACTATTTGCACGACTACTTTTAAAAATGAGACGCTCAGCTCAGGTTTATGACAACCCAGAGGCCAGGAGTAAAGTTGTAGCTTTAGTGTAGCGTCACAACAGGCTACGCACTTGAGATAGGGGTTATCATCCTTGGAACGTACACGGAGGGGGAATGGAAATGAACCTGCGATTCTGAGGCGTAAACTGCACTGCTTTCTCCCACACTCCTTCCATTTTGATGCAAGGCTTACAAAACAACCTCAGCGCACACTGCCGTAAATGCACCAAGATGGTTGTACAAGCAGGTTCTGGGTGCCCGGAACAATGCGTTTAAAGCATTGCCCGAGAAGGGATCCAATCAGCTCTCAAAAGAGGAGCGTGACCAAAGGAGCAGCTGAGAAGGGCCACCAGGATTGCAGTGTGTGTGCAACACGTGTATTTCTTGTGCACCTGATAATTAGACACAGGA